ATTTTATTTAAATATGACTCACCATGACCCATCATGACTATTGCAATGATCTTTTACATACACATTAGTTTTGTAACCAGTGCCGAAAATATCGAAAAAGGTACATCAAACTACAAATATCATTTTTTCAAAATATGCATTTCCATTATTTATGGTTTCATAATATAATTGATTTTACTTTTATACATAATTTAAAAGCTAAACTTAAAGACCCTGTTCTTTCTGATATCAGACATTCATATAAGCTATGGCCTTCCTTTTTAACACGCTTTTATTAGCTTGGTATGTATGTACTCGTATGTATCTATGTAATCTTTGGACGTGATTTTGACCCACTTTAAAACGTCGAATCAACGTCGTTCAAACTTCCAACACTTATTAAGGACCGATGACAATAAATAATAATGTTTACTCAAAAGTAATACAGTTTTCACATGCTTTCATCGCTTATACAATAAATGTTGAGTCCACGTAAGCATGGTGAACTACGATCGCTGCCTTAATGTTTACGGTTAAAAACTTTATTGGACTACAAAATGGTATTGTCGATAGCCAAGTTTTACTATTCTTATATCGTGATCGGTAGGGTAATTCACTTACCTCACAAGCCTAGGCATACGGTAGGCCAATAAAGCTGCACTGAACACAACACAAATCTCATAGCAATTACACTGGTCATGCCTGTATAACTTTTAATTAATCGCTGAATTACAATCGTATATACATGTAAGTACTTTATGTGTTATCGATGTGGAGTTGTCGTTGGAGCCTATCGTGTTCTGGTTTACAATTTTGCGTGTCCGTTGTTGCCAGTTGAAAGTATAAACCCGTAGACTAATTTTTAGGCGATTACACTAACTATATAGTATGAATATAAACTATATACATTAACTATACAAAATAACTAGTACCTTGCAACTCTTATGTTAATTTTAAGGTTTTCACTTGTATATATATATAAAGAATCTTCCACCTTAACTAAAAAATCGGAAAAACCAAATCTTCCAAAATTGCACTAGATTTTAGGATGTACTTATCTTAAAATTAAAATGTGGAAATACACTTTTCTTAAAAACGCTGGGGAGGAGCCGGACCAACCAGGTCACATTAGAAAACTCGAAGCAAGGCCATTTCTGTTAGGTAGTTTTATAAATAAATTATTTAATTTCATTTCAATTAATACGCTTACCTTCTACGGTAGGTACTCGTACCTTCACTTGTACATAACTAACTACCTATGTTAACAAATGCATGGAAGTTAATTGTAACCTACTTTTCATTGTCGTATCGAAATGAAACTTGTATGTATATGTAATTTGAATAACGGTACTATAATTGGCATCTTGAAGCTGATCTGATGCTCTCTCAGATTTGGAGTCATAACCATAGTTCAAAGGTGATGAATAGTGAATAAACATTTTTACTTTCATAGTGTATTTTTTAGTTTTACCAAGCTGTTTTATGTTCTCGTAGCAATGGTATAAAAAATGCAAGGCAAAATTGGAAACGCGTTACAATTACTTCCAATGTGCAGTCCGCAGTGTCGATAAGAGTTATAGTCGATGTCAATGACAGCTTCATTCAAACACAACTTCTATTTCCGCTTGTTTAATACGATGATTTTAATATGTTCGTACATATAACCGGACTGTGCTTACGCAATAGATGTATTTGTCGATAGTAAATTTCTTTTTAGTTTATAAGTTTAGTTACAGAGATTATTAACTTAAACGTATTAACTAGATTCAGCGTATTTTTCAATTATGGATCATTATTGGTTTTTTGAATTTTGCTGACTACCTACTAAGGTACTCATTACACAACTTTCCGTCACACCAAATTTTACTTTTGTTTAATACATTTAAATTTAAAAAATAACGTGTGGTTACATGTTTCTTTTGACATCGGTTCTGTTATATTTTTATAGCATGAAATCGTATAAGGAATTTAATCAACGAATGTTAAAAGTACCGCGGTCAAACGTAGTTGCAGCCTCAGGTCAATGCTAGTAATTCATCCAAACTACTTTATAGTACTATATTAAAGTACTGTTATTGTTTTAGTATAGTTACTAGAAACCGTTATTGTAATTGATTCGTTCGTAGACAATTACTTCGGAATGTCCATTAAAGGTAATAACAGCCGTTTTGCTGAACGTTTGACTTCAAGTATTTTTACTTGAAGTCAAACGTGAGTTGGTTTTGATCTCGTCTTAGTTTCTAACAAATGTTCTGCATCTTTAAATTTCAGAAAGAAATTGTACACGTAGTTCATTTTTGGTGTAGTTAATTCTGACGTAGATAACATGACTATCTGACGTCACAACTTCGCTTTGTCGAAGATATTTATGGTTAGTAGGTTTGATGGATGCACAATGGTCACTGATGTGGTCACAATCTACAAGGTGAAGAATTTACATTAGCAATGGATTATCGATGGTTAGGCATGTTATGTGGAAGGGTAAACAAAGTGCCTTATATGGAAAGTTTACAAGTTTATAGTAGAGGGCTAAGAAAAGTAGCTAGAAAGATATGAAGCGGTGATCTAACGTATAATAGAGGACGAAAATTAATCGTCTTGACCACAAATAAAATTAAAAAAAATGAATGTGTACGTTCATATTCAGCAGGTTTGAAGTCATCTTTTGTCATAGGACATTTAAAAAGGGAACAAGTCTTTATAAAACTGAACTGACTGACTAAGATTGCTCTCTTCTCTTAAAAAAAGAAATCTTAAAAAAAACTGGGCATATGGCAATATGACGAAATTCTTTTTTTTATTAAAAAGAAAATAATGTAAGACGCACATTTATTTGTGCATTATAAATTTTGCTTAAATCTTTAAGGCCTCGTCGATATGGTATGTTTATTTACCTACAGCATAGAAAATTCTCCAACAAAAATAAAACTGCCATGTTATACCATAACGAGAAAATATAGGTAGTAAGATTAAGGTAATTCCTATTCCGTACTTTGTGTTCCAACGCAAACCATATGTAGTAGGTACCTACCTATTATATGAGTATTGTCCACAGTGAGACTAGTCATTACAATATTCAAATTTTATTAATCTTTTCTCAGCGCCAGTTTGTAGTTGACAGTATTACCAAAATCACCATTTAGGACACATATAGGTAAAATATGTTTACATTAGTTTGTGTCACAAAAATTCAGCTGTTTTTGAGTACAGACCATAACACAGAGCTTAGTAACTCCATCAATCTTTCTAATCGTTAATAATATGGATCGAATTATTTTATGTTTAAAGAAGTTATTCTAATGTTTAAAGCGCCGCCTCCACTTTTATTTTATTTTCTTATTTTATTTCCCGTGCGGAAATCCCCTCGGTTACCACCTATTGGTGGCATGTCGGACTCGAACCGACTAAAACCACACACCGTCTCGGGTACTAATAGCCGGGGAACCAGGTATACCCTAGAAAGGAAGTCCCTGGTGCCCCGACATTGGTATTGGTATTGGTTGTGGGCTTCGGTTTCCGCATTTAGACTCAGAGTGGTCCTTTATGCGTCGAGGATTGGTTGTCTAGGTGAGCCAGGTGCCCCGACATACCTCGGGCCATCTACAACAACAGGTAGACGACCCCCCCGTGTGGGAACCCCATGTTCCCTGTGCTCCCTGGAAGCGAGCGCGCTTCGCAACACGCTCGCCGCCACCCCTGCCTGCTTCTGCTAGGGTGACAGATGGCCTCACCTGTCACCCCCAGGCCTGCGCTTATGGAGGACGGAGGTCGTTCTGCGACCTCCAGCGCCTGAGTCGCCTGCGGTACCTGGCCCGTTCCCGAGCCTGGCGGGCCGGGAGAGTCCTAAACCTCTCCCGGTCCCGCTCCGCCGTCTCCTTCGCTAGCATAACTTGCTTGCAGAAGGAGACGGCAGAGTTCCACGCACTCTCGCTCCGCACGATAGCCGCAATCAGGCTATCGAGAGAGAGAACTCCCACTCCGATGGCCGCCACGAGGTCTCGCCTCTGCTCAACCCACGCCGGGCACTCTGCCAGCGTGTGGAGAGCCGTGTCCACGGTCTGGCCATCGCAGTGGTGGCACTCAGGCGTTGGCTCTTTGCGGATCAGACACAGGTGATCCCCGAAACATCCTTTCCCAGTGATCACCTGCGTCAGTGGGTATGAGAGGGTCCCGTGACGCCTCTCGAGCCAATCCTCCATAACGGGTCTTACCGCCGCGATGACGGCGTGCCCGGCGCTCGGTTGCCCGAGTCGTGCCCTCCACAGCGCCGCCTCCACTGACGTTTGTTGTATTAACTCAGTTTTTTTATAAATTTTCTTTGGTAATAGTGATGTGGCGACTCCCACATACAAAAAAAACAGAAAAATTTACAGCACTGTAACATTTACACATAAACATTTACAGCAATGTTACAGCACTGGGTGCGGACTGGCAACCGTGGTACAACAATCCGCTCTGGTCCGTGAAAATACCGAAAGCCTATCTAAAGTACAACCTAAGTACTTGCATCGAGCGTACACCGTAGTGAACCAAACAATACTCGTACGTAATCTACGTCTAAGTGCCTAAATCCCTAAATTCCCTAGCCCTATCAATATGTGACCCTGCGGTGAGGATATATGTACATATATAGACAGTGCGGGAAGTCTGTTACCGGGAGACCTAGGGCAACAGACGGAGACTAGAAGGGAACAGGGGTTAGGAGATGATTTTCTCACACGCCGGTCGAACTGCTGACGGCTAAAGGTGTCTTGGCCGCAGTGAAAGGTGGGACAGGGTAATGCGTCAAAGTCGGATTAGACAAAATGATTCATTTACATAAAATTACATCTTATATACTAATCTTACTCTAAGTACACATTAATGGCTACTTGCTTGTGTGCCATCCGTGTGTTGTGTTCATGCGGCTGCCTTAATCTCGGCCATGCCGAAATTGTTGACAGTGCATCGACTTTACGCCGCACTGCTTGTGACATAGATTTTGTTGCTGGGTGATACAATTATGTTCAGGGTTGAAGATTCTAGCGTCTCTCAGGAACGGCATGAAGTTCGTACAGCTCAATCTTCTCTGTCACGATGTCTGCAGGTTTGTTGCTGGCAGCATCCTTGGACGGTTGTACTGACCGTCGAATTGGTTGACTGTAACTCGGGGTTAGCCAGGCCGGTGGTGAACGCCTTTCAGGTTCTGTTAGTGGTAGCCGTGTAGGCGACGATTTCTTGACCTGTTGGAATCGTGCTCTAATGAACCTTCCACCACTACCTTTGGACCATAACATAAACAAAATGCTGAAACTCAGTATGTATGAGAACTCATTTGGTTCCATAACGTGTTATCTAATTCGGTGTGTGGTGAGTTTTCGTTATTGGTTAAGTGTTGAAAGAAATTTCATGAACTGTCTAATACTGTTTTGAGGTTCGTAAATATTCACTGAGAAATCTATCTGCTTAGAATAGGATGATATTATCTTGACTGATACCGATCTTTGAGCAGCAAGTGTGTTGGTTGATGATTTAATGATACAGTTATCGACCATTCGTATTACACCAACGTCTTGGAGCACTACCTCCTACCGTTGCCCATCACTGATTATTGAAACAATAGTACTATCTTTAACTATAAACAACCATGTATTCTGCATACATAGTTGTTCCCATATTAAATTACTAGATATATGGAACGATTTTGCAGGGCATTTAGCGCGTGTTTGATTTTAAATAGCTGGCCAACAATGCAATTTTTATTTGATTGTATGTTCTTGACCTCCCCAAGAAAACAAATTAACCGATCACTCCTCTGTAAACACGATTTGAACTCTTCTTCACTTAAATCAAAACAACCTCGGCCTCAACAGGGATACCACACGCAGGTAGCTCTAGCCTGGTTAGGGGTAACCAGGCTGGAGCGACCTCATCAGCGTCTAGGCACAGCACACTGCACAAACGGTCCACGTAAGACTATTCTTATGTGGACCGTTGATGCAGCAGCCAGCAACTATGCAGCAACCACCCCGACTCACATGGGACTTCACCGCAGCACCACGCACCACACGCTATCCCGACTCACTGGGATCAGCGCTAGCGGCACTCAGTTCCGACTCACTGGAATTAGACACTACTTTCACTGGCACGCTCCTCAACAGGGCATAGATAGCTGACTCATCAAGATATTGACATCCGGTCTTGGAGGGGAGCAATGTGGCGACTCCTGCATACAAAGAAACAGAAACATACTACAGCGCCATCTAACGAAGACCCAGCGAAATACCCAGTAACTCTTGAATGAGAATTGCTAATCCTGTATCGCGATATGAAAAATTCTCACGCCGACCAGCATGTATACAACTTCCCAACATCAACCGTTGTTCCGCAGCCCGCCGAGCATGATCACCTCCCTGGTCGGAGGATCCTCCCTTCGTGTTGGAGGGACATGACAACCGTACGTTCACAGTGACATGAACAAGGAGCTTTATTTTGTATGTCAAAATGATAGCATCGAAACACTCGATTATGCTTATAAAATACAGAGAGGATGCCTCTTAACTTTTCATTCCCTTTAAGTATGTGTTTAAAAAATTTGATTTATTGTTATTCAAAACTTCATGCTCATTATTTAATAACTTACAAACCGTTAAAAAGGACATCTATTTTTTATAAAAACTGTTTGGTATTAAAATAAGCACCTGTTCCTTCTTGTTTATAAACGCACCAAAAGAGGTGTAATACTTTGTTTGTTTTACTCACACTATCTAATCTGTTAGTTATTGCAACAGATTTTCGATTAGGGCAGCCCAAGTTGGAAAGTAAATCTTTAGAACCCCATTTTAATCTACTTTACAAAAGATTTCAGTTAACAGATATGTATTTTTAGCCTTGTCTTTTACATCGTTTAGTCCAGACGATGACCAAACAAGGCAACACAGAATTACACATCAAGCAATTAGTTTCAAGTACATTAAAAATCTATCAAATAAAAATATTAAGTTAATCGACAACACATAAATCATGTATCATATTTTCTCCAAGAAATAAATGAAGCTTCTTGAATGTGTTTTTAAATTTGCAGTAAGTGCTAAAGCATCCATATTTTAAAGGATGGGTTTAATCTCAATCTATCTTCCACAACTTTTATTGCCTCCACCACTGCACCAGGAAATATATGGTTACAAAGATAAATAAAGTAGCAGTTTTACCTATTACGTTCAACCATTTTAGTGATGTGGTTGACTAAACCGACGTAGTGTAAGCGTCATCCGCCCATGGCACCATTCACCCAACAATTCATTTATTCTTAATGTAAATGTTATAGAAAATTTATGTAAATTTATATTATTACATTACGCCTGATAGCAATTTACTGACGGCGTAAATATGAATACCGCATACCGAGTGGATATTTACGCGTCTAATATGAAGTAAACTCTTTCATTCAATTGTAGAAAGTTTTGTAGTACATACGCGTACAAAAATGTATTTTGTATTTTTATGTCGCTTACAATGCATAATTTGATTCTTTTGTAGTGATGTTTTATTAGGACCGGACTTTATTATAATTTGTCATGCGTACATTGGAAGAAGTAAATGGATTTTGATTTGGATTCAAATTATCTTTAAATTGATTATACAGGTTGATGTTGAGTACCACAGTCGAATAACTAGTTGCATATTTAGGTAATTTTTAGCTGTACTACAAGTTGGTGTAATTGATAGAAACAATGTTCTAGTAAATTATATGACTAAGAAAGAAGTATGTGATGCAAATATAACATCATTTAATAGGAAAGTAATAGAAAGAGATGGAAGCGATGGAGAAAATCTGACGTAAAGCATTTATTCTATTGACCTTAAGTAAATTTGTGAAAATGGCGAGAAGATGGTGTATAAAAGCATTAGACAGAACTAAAAGAACTCTGTGTTTTTTTTTAATTTCTTGTGCTTAGTATTTATTATTTTAATATGTATGGCAGTTGTCAATTTCTGTATTGCACCATCATGCACTTTACTTTAAATAATTTTAATATTTACACCTACGTCTAGTTAGTCAAAATATTAGCTCGAAACTGTCTTTTAACTTACAATTAATTAATTAAAAAGATAATATTTTGTTCTCAATCCTTTCTGCATATTTTCTCTCTAGATCTACTGTTATAACACACTTATTACTCTCACTTAAGAACAGTAATTTAAAATATTAATAATGTGTGAAAAGTGAAAATCTCCGACCAGCTTGGCGTTGTGTAGAGATTTTCAATACGCTTTTTGCTTTGCACAACCAATCTGTAGAACATCTGAGAACATGTAGCTCCGAACCAATAGGACCATCAAACCTTCAAGACAATAGCGTACTCCTTCCTTAAAGGCCGGCAACGCGCTTGTGACTACTGAGTTGCAGGCGTTCATGGGCGTCGGTAGTCGCTTTCCATCAGGTGACCCGTCTGCTCGTTTGCCCCATCTTCCCTAATATATTTATATATATATGACTTGAAGACTATGAGAATTTAGGGAGTTTATCTGTCAATACAAATATTAGACTAAATCATATAGAGTTTGTTTCAAAACAAGAGATTATACAATAAACAAAACGGTTCCTAGTTATGTCAATAACTAGAAACCATCACACACAACAACTAGAAATCATTAACCAATATATGTGTATGTAAATAAATATTTGTCATTATGATAAATTGTATATATATAGAAAAATAGTGGAATATGTTTATAATGTTATCCATAAATTCAACGCATCGCTGCACAACTAATATAATACAAGAGGTGTTCATTTTGATGGACTCTAACCCTAATCAAATGAACGTACAAATGGTAAGTGAAACCATGTGAACATATGTGAGAAGATGACTATACCTACAAATATTCTAGAAACAAATGATAATAGTGTTTCACACATCTATCAAAGATAATTAAGGTTGTCATATCGTCCGTAACTAAAAGTATTAAAAAATGCACATCAACAAATTGTTTCTTGTCTGGAGCCAGAAAAATTAAATTCAAATAGGTTTTGTTATATATTTTATATTAACTGGCTACAAAAATTTCTTTCTTTTAGAGAGAATATCTGACATAATTTAGACGTAAACAGAGATGATTGATGATATTTTGATAAAGGTCATGCCATCCTTCCCGAGTCGAGTTTTTATACGAATAAAGCTGACTTAAGAAACTGTAAATAAGTAATGGTTTTGGCGAGTCATGTTTTTTGGCAGTTTTATTTTCAAAATATTTTATGAATATTCCTAACTGGTATTGAATATATTTTAGTTTTATTTGAGTGCCATAAATATAAATTATGTTTTAAAATTAACATTTGCGTTAACCTACGTCGATAGGTCCTAAAGAGTAACCTATCTGCCTGTGGTGATGAGCAGGTTAGAGTCGGGGCTGCCTTTACGGTAAGATATGAGAAGATAAGGAGTTTTCGGTTGCTACTGCTACTGGGTGACGTAATAGGTCAGCAAAAAGGTTGTTAATGTCAGTTTCACCAGAATCTACTTTTTCATTTTCGGTACAGTACAGGAGTACGTATTGAAATGCACTTAAGATATTTAGTTGAGGTGAGTTGCTATCTTGGGTTCGTAGGTTTATTATTAAATAGATTAATAATAATTGGAGATATCTCACATACGGCCGTCTAAACACAAACTAGATAAAGCTTGTACTATGATGACCTGTATGCTAATAAGTAAATGACAACCAAACACGTAACAAATTGTATGCTCATCATACAGTTATCTATCCTTGGTTTGAATCGAAGTCACAACCTCCAGCTAAATATTAGGACCTCAAATACAACAGGCCAGTCCAAAGCATAATGATAAATTAAGTCTACATCTAAACAACCGTTCCACCTAACACTTTCACTCAGTTGCTTCCTTGCACTAAAACAGCTATTGAACCAAGGTATGACAAAACACTATAAGTTTTATGTTACTGACTACTAAAAGAATGAATCCCTAGTCTAAAATATACATTGTATTTAACAAAACCCTTTTGTTTTTGAAATTATTAAATAAGAATACTTCTTTAAACTGTAATACCAGTAAGTGGCCTTATAACGTTCTGACCGCCATTGTATACAGTGCAAACATATCTTTTACGCAACTTCCAATATTAATATCCCTCCGGTTTAATCTGAATTAAATCATCGCTCATGTATAATAAACGAGAAACTTTGCGTATTATTAATTCGAGGAAAAGTCGTGAGCAAAATATTATAATAATGACTGTATAATTTACTCACAGACCAGATATTGAAGAGAATTGAATTATTCGCAATCATTAATTATTGGTAAGAAAGGATAATTTTTGCCTC